GAAAAGGTGGGGAAATTGTCCGAGGACGAGGTAGATAGGTTGTAAGAACCACACATAAATTAATAATAAAAGAGATAACAATTATATTTAATGAACCGAGTTACAATTAATATCTGGAGCCTTGCTCCCTGAGCCGGATTTGACAAGATCTACTTCCGCGGACAACTAATTTATTTCTAACGCTGATTCAACGATCGTACTTTATAACTTAAGATCTTAATTTTCCGAACAATCACCTTCGGAGGTGGCGAATGTACGATGGCCAAATATTCCCGACATCCGTCGACAGCGTACAATAATTCGTGTCCCGAGGAAAGAACGTTACCCACGAGGGCAACCTCGAATTTGAACGATAATCCGAACACACGATACAGTTACAGCAATCGGTTCGACATGGCACAAAAGGTGCAAAACAAGAAAAATGACTCGATTGTGACAAGTGAGACGAGCGCGGATCAGCAGTTAATAATTCTCTTAATGACAATGCTCGGACGGATGGCACGTGGCTTCCAATTCCCCGGATCTTGACGATGGTCATTATACTGGCCACTTGCAGCCACGCGAGTTTTCATGCGCGATCTACCAGAGGCTATGAATCCGATGATCGGCAGCTTTACAACAGTGGTGGCATTCGTCTCACCCAATATCCTTCTCTGGTCCTTGTCGCGACAATCCTGGATTGTAAACGTGGGAGCTCACTGCTTCTCGACAGCTCACTGCTTCTCGAATTTTCTCGACAGCGAGGAAGTTTGTGTTTCCTCTCACAATCGATGCCGACTCAGCCACAGAACGAGTGCCGGCCGGGAGTTTTCCGCGGATTCACACAGCAGGGTTGCCAGATACTTGACAAGCGCCGTCGCCGATGGAGGGCTCTCGTGTCGCCCAAAGTCGCCCAACTGAAACGCGCTTTCCAAAAAAAGGGGGATAGGAGGGAGAGAGTGGAAGAAAACTCATTACCATAAATTTCTGTATTTCTGATAATGAATCGTTAATTTCCAAACGAATTTTACAAACTGACCAATTAAAATACGTTTCAAAGCATTTGTAGCATCGCGTTGACCGTGCCTATATTACCGGCCTATATAAATTTTAAAGGTATGTACATTTATTTCATTTGCGCAAAAACTTTACAAACTTTAACAATATTTGCCAACGCCAATGATTTTTCCAAAAATGTAATATAAGAGCGCAAATAATGCTAAAGTTTGTGCAGTTTTTCAAAAAGGAACTGTATGTACTTACGCCTTTTAAAAAGTTATTTAGGCCCAGTTTCACAACTCACAATTATCTCTTAACCGAGGTTGAACTTGTTTCTCATTTCTTTTCAATTCTATAATTAGAAAGAAATAAGGAATAGGTAAACCTCGGTTAAGAATTAACAGTGAAAAGTGAAAATTTTTATGTATGTCAGATTCACATCCGATTTTCGTCGTACGACGTTCTGCAACCAATCAGAAAACAGGAATTTGCTTTGTATTATCGATACGAACGCTCGCTGCGGCGCTGCTTGCATTGATGTTTTCTTCTAGATCTTATTGGATGATAAAGGGGATCTCGGCGCTACCGTCATGGCGTCGCCAAAAAGTCGCCGGAGGGAAAGAGAAAATCGCCTAATTTGCGACACGTCGCTCTTTTTTGTCGCAAATTCTCATTCCAAGTCGCCTAAAAGGCGACATGTCGCCTAATCTGGCAACCCTGTCACACAGGCCGTTCGGTCCCCCCTTAATTAGAGTCATGCCACGCGCCGATTGGCTCCTGTCAATCACGTGGCTCCGCGTATTGTATAGGTCCTTGCGGGCCGCGAATCCTTGCATCTTAGATAGATCGCGCAATATAAATTTCCATGGACTCCTGTGTTGCTGGTAGCCCCTAAATTATTCGGGCTGGCACGGGATGTCTTGGCAGCTCCTCCACCGGCTCCGTATCGGGGTATTTATCTCTCGAATTGGCGTTTGTATTGCTCATCTGGTGACCGGAAGTTTTCGCCTTCCATCGCTTTATTTTGTAAGTGGCGTGCGATATAACGAAGTTCGGGGCGGCAGCGGATTATAAAACAAATATATGAAATTTTACGACCTGCGTGTATATAGAGTCCTAAAAAAATTAGGAAGTAGTCGAATATTTCGAAAACAAAACATTTTTGAGAAAAATGTTTCATATAAAAATTGTAAGGTTTAATTGATGTAGTTACTGATCTGATCAGTTTGACCTCGGGTGGCGTTGTCAAGGTCAGATTAAGGTCACGTTGATTTTTAAAAATTGAACATCCTATTTTTTATTCCAGAATGTAATGCTGATGTCAAAAGCTTTTCAAAACGCTATAATAAAATTAATTTTTATTAAATACTTTTCGAGTTATAAGGCTTGAAAGTTATAGTACCGCTATTATTAGTATTACTCAACGTGTCCGACCGACGACTAAAATCTCTTGAATGTTGTTCAGGATTATGCCTTGAATAACATTTGTTAAAATCATGGCTATTGGAGATTATTCCTCTTATTTTTATTTTTGCACTAAAAATTCATTTTAGTTTGCAATGTCCAGACTGATTACCACGATAGCCTTCCTATAGCTCTCTTTGTTATGTCCTTGAGTCTAATCACAGCATCAGTTGTGGACCTACCAGCCCTGAACTCGAATTGATTTTCCATAAGGTTAACTCCTGTATTAAGTTCGCTAACGATTCTATTATATATTTTCCTCTCAAACAATTTGCCCGCTGTATTTATTAAGCAAATGAGCCTGTACAAGATAGGCAGTTTGTCAGGTTTATTCTACTTCTTTAAAAGGATCAACCTAGCAGTCTTCCACTCTGTTGGAAATCTACCACTTTCTAAATAGAGAATAAAACACCTCATCTACAACCTACTGGATACTCCTACAACATGTGCCAGTATCGAATTGAGGATCTCATCAGGGCCCGGTGCCTTCTTATTTCCTTTAATTCTTCTGGTACAACACCTACATCTTGAGATACAGCATCGTCGTCTCTTGTTATAGACGACCCATTCGGGAACAGTGTACTAACAATTTCATTCACATAGTCTGGATCAAAATCTCGCATAATTAAGGGGAACCATTTTGAAACTTTCTCATAACAATCTTATAGGGTTTTCCCCATGGTTCCTTCTCGAGAGTACTCAGTAGCTCATTCCATGTTGTTTGGCCTTCCTTATTTTTAATTTCATGCTTTTACGTACTCTTTTATATTCCTTCTCTATCATCCTGGCATCTATGCTGCCTCTCCTTTTCCTTACTTTGATCATAGCTTTTTTTAGACGGTTACACTCATTACTATCCCATATGTCTTCTATTGTTCGTAGTGCTCCAACAGTATATATTTCTCCTACTATATTTTTTCACTTTAGGCATCGAATAATTACAAGCATCTTGTGTAATATCACCGATGAATTTGGAGATTTGTAATGAGAAGAACTATCGGACAATCTGTGACCAAAAGCTAAACTATAATTGTGTTGATCTATTTTAAGATTTTGACGAATTGTCCGTTAGGACTGATATCTGATCACTGTATGTCAATCTAATATATACTAATACTGTTATTAATTAATTGGTTGCAATATACACTGAAGAAGGCTTAGTAAGCTGAAACGTTTGTATATCGTTGATAGACTTTTACGAGACTTTAGTAGTTTGGTTTTAATTTTATGGTAATTTTGATTCTTATGTAATTTAAGTGAAGAATTATTAAATATTATATAGCTCGAATTAAGCCTTGAATTTGCATCAGGAATTTTTTTAAAACATACGAGCATTCAAATCATGTATTAATATCACTGAGTTTATTTAATAGCTCCTCCAATGTTGGTTCCCAATTTGAATTTATGGACTATAATCTGGCCTTCACATATGCCAGCATTTTATCCATGTCACATGATTTGAAGTTCCATCTGGGAAAAGTAGATCTTGATGAGACCGAAGCATTCTGTCCTCCACCATGTTTAGCCAAGATTATCTTTATATATAGATGATCTGACAGAGTAACATTCTGACTGACCGTCCATCTTGGTACTCTGCCTCTAGCGTTTCTATTAGTGAAACGTACATCCACAGATGAGCCTTGCGCTCTTACGTAGGTCGGAACCGCTTTTGTATTTAGCATCTCTAAGTTTACATGTAAAGCCCATTTGAATAGAACTGTGCCCTTTTTATTCGTGGTCTTGTCCCAAGCCATATGTCTGGCATTGAGATCTCCGCGTAACACTACTATTAATATATTGGTTCTATATTTGTATATATGATCGCCTCTAATTTTTTCAATAGCAGATTAATGTAATAAGTTTTCTGTTCAGTGAGCAATAACGACCTATAATTATAATACATTGTCATGCTAGACAGCAACGAAATCATTCTCTTTGTCAATAGTCACCCATCCTATATTAGGATCTATCGCCCTCTGCCCCGTAATTGCAGCAAACGGAGATTTCCATCTACGGGATCACTCCACTGTTGTTTACAGAGACACAGTATGGTTCTGACAAAACAGCTACATCCATTTTACTTTCAACTATCATTCTCTGCAAAAGAAGGTCTTGCGCTTGCCTGGCGTGATTCAAATTGATTTATAGAATTCGAAGCATCTCGATGTGTCTTATAGCTCCTCATAATCAATTGCGATCCTCCGCTCGGCAGATTTCCTATTCCCTTCACTCCAATTTTCTATCATGGTTCTACTGGGGAGGGGGGAAGAGAGCAATTAATGCAGACTTCACTCCTAGGTCTATGGTCACACCTTAAGTCCCTCTCCACATATATATAGGGCAATATGTGCTCTACATTGCCTGAAACTGTGGCCAGACTCCACAATTGAAGCAGCAATTCGTTCTGTTAATTCTGCTAGGACACATATCTAGCATGCTCTTTCCCTAAGCATCGATAACATTGAAGCCCTTCTTTTCAGGAGTTCCATTGTAATTCCCGTTTAATCAATGGGCAATCCACCTTTATTTATTATCAAATGAGCTGCATTCAGTAGGTATTAAGCCCACATAAAACCTATGCCATTTCTACCATATCTAATCTTGCCAACTTTAATCTCGTTAACCTTATACCTACCTTCTGCGGAAATTGCAGCAGCTATCTCCGAGGGACTAATGGAGTCATCCAAACCGGACAAAATTAATTCCGCATTACATGTAGGTCTACTGATTACCATCTCATTTTCCTTAAAAGTATCCTTTAACCTATTTGCTAGTTTTTTTGTCTTAATAGTCGCATTTTCTCCTGGAATTTTTAATAAAAATCCTCCTGTAACTGCTCTTTTTATTTTCAAATGATTAATCTCAAGTTCTTCCAGTGGAATTTTATCCCTCGCCTTTTTCATGACATCCGCATATGAGGATTTACTTCCCTCCTTGATTGTCAAGGCCACAGCAGCTGAGGCAGGTGGCCTTCGCCCCATAGTACAGGGCTGTCGAGATAAATCCGGAAAAATATAATGTAAATAAAATACAATTAAAATGCGGAGAAAACGTTAATATATTTGTATGTAACCTGGTATAAAGTAGCAAGGAGCATAAAACAATGAAATTATTCGATATAAACACAATCAAAGCATACAGCCACAACGCCAGATAATATTTGCGAAAGTCAATTTATTCAATTACATTAAAACATTAAATTGTACTTTAATTTCATGTTTTAATGTAATTGAATAAATTAACTTTCGCACAAATATTATCTGGCGTTGTGGCTGTATGCTTTGTTTTGATTGTGTTTATAATTTCAAGCCACTTTTCTAGTTTTATATGCGATATAATCTCCATTAGATTGCACGACCTTCTCGAGCCTGGATCTGAACCTGCTGCAAGCGCGCTTGATCTCCTCCTTATTTATATGAATTATCACCTTCGTGATGGAGGCTTTTAGGGCATCCTTTGTGTTGTAATGTTTTGCATTGACCTTTGACTCAACCACGCCCCATACGTAATAATCGAGGGGATTGCAATCCGGGCTGGAGGGAGGCCATAAATCGGGGGACCAATGATAAGGCAGGTTGTTAAAAAGCCAGGCCTGGGTTTTTCTTGCCTTATGAGCTGGCGCCGAATCCTGCTGGAATACGTACTTTCTCCTAGCAACCACCTTGTCCGTCCAGGGTTTCACAATCGTCTCCAGCACGTTGATGTAGCTGTCGGTGTTCACTTTCAGACCCTCCTCGAAGAAATGGGGCACTATGACGTCCCCCTCGCTGCTCACGACCGCTAGCACCATCACTGACGCGGGAAATTTTGTATGCATGACGGTAGGCATGTCAGAAGCATGCTAACAGATCCAACGATTATTTTGACTATTCATCTTCCTGTTCTGAATGAAATTTTTCTCGTCCGAGAAGAATCTCAAAAAGCCGGCGCTGTCGTGTTTTATATCGTTTAACAGAGCCTGAATCTTCCTCTTCCTGTTCATCTTATTATTCTCAATCAACAGTTGGCGATTTTTGAGGACAAAAGACTTGTACTGCAGGTCCTTGTGTACTGCTAAACTGATTATGGACCTCGCCAGTCGCTACACCCATTTTTTTTGCGAGATCATTCATACTCCGCCCAGGATCTTGGTCGATCTTTTCTCTCAATTTGCGGCCGAATTCATTATTTCTCTTGCAATCACATTGTTTTTTGTGTGTTGCCCGGTCAGCAGTAACCTCTTTTTTGTTGTCGGACTCCCTAAACTTTTTGGTTATGGCATAAACTTGCGTTTTCTTGTAACCAAGTCACTCGATTATCTCCGCGGGCGATTTGTCGGTGCGAAGTGATTCGAGTATCGCTGCTCTTCGATCATATTCTCGGCTCATAGCTAATTGTTGATTATATTTGGCGGTTGCGATGAATTCTCTACTAAATGACCTTATCACAATCTGTCGCGCACACAACATTGGCGCTGACGTCATCGCTTTAAATAAATCTAATTTCCGGATTTACCTCGACGTCCCTGTAGATATCATCTGCGTCGCATCCCTACTTTCCTTCACTACTCTAATATTTGAGGCACCCATTTCAGTCAGGGTTCCATCTGTCCCTTTTGGATCTTCTTCTCATCTTCCTTTTGTTCTGCAGTTGTTTCCACTGACCACCCATTTCGTCTCCCGTATATATCGAAGATTCCAGCAATTACTTCTTCTCGACATTTTATTCTGATTGCCCTGTCTGACTTGAGGTACATCGGTTTTGCCTCTCCTCATACGATTTTCTCATGATGACGATTAAATCAATATTCTTTGTAACAGGAATTTCTCTTAACAAAAAATACTTATTCATCTCTTTGACTATCAAATCAGCAACCATTGATGGTAGCCTTTCATGTATCTTTAATAAGTCTTTACTTATTCTTATGTTCGAAACAACTTTAGAAAGTGATTTCCCATTCTTTTTACCCTGATTTTCATCTGAAGTAGCATCCGTTGTTCTCGACATTCCTCCAATACTCTCGCTCCTGCTTGAGACTTCTTAAAACTGTCTAATTTATCCTTCGATGGTGATGTTACTGGCTTTTTTGTTTTCCTCGGCGGGGATGTCTCCTCGAACAATCGCCAAATCTTTTCATTTTTCTTCTTAAGCTCTCCCACCTGTCTTTCTAAATCTTTAATTTGACTTCTATAAAATAAGAAATTAGCGTCAAAATCTCTTGTGTTTTTTTCTACCATTAACTTAACTCCTTCACAGACTATTCGACAATCAATCTTTAAATCTATGACATGGGTATCCTTAAGTCGTTCTTCTTACGTTATCTATTTTTTCTACCCACTTAGTGATCTGTTCACTGATCTCTCTCGAATCCATTTCCTTCATTTCGGATATTCCCTTTCTGATTTCACTCCTTTGCCACGGTGTCATATTTTCTCTGCTAGGCGTTTCAAGATCTTTATTTCTACTTGAACGTAAGTACATGGAACAATTACCAGTCCTAGTTCCAGCTATCATCTCATGTAAAGTTGCATCCTCCTCACCACTCTCAAAATAATTCTACCATCACCTCTTGTATTTGACCTTCACTCTCCATATTCATTGCTATTACAACCCCTTCCTCTGTAAGGAAGGGGTTGTAATAGCAATGAATATGGATTCCAATATAGGATCTCCTATATTCTGCCTACTTTCTTCAGTACGATTATCAACCAAAGTCACATCCTTCTTGGAAGCGGAGATAGTCCAAAAGTCCTTCCAGTTTCCTCTTGATCCGTACTATAATTAGAAAGTTCAAAGAATTGAAAAAAATACGGACGTTGGGAGTCGGGCGCAGAAGACGTCGCGCTAATAATACACTTATGAAGCTTGAAACTTGTTTATTCAACAAACGCGCTTACATGTTTCGGTTAATTTTTTAGCCTTCCTCAGAGCAAACACAAACTAACATATATAAACTGAAAGTTATTCTGTCATGGTAAACTCCCCTACATCGAGAATTTAAATGCCAGAATTAAATAAAAAGAAAGAAAAGAAAAATGAAGGGAAATATTAAAAATGCCGAATTAAAGAATATAGAAACTAATTTATCAAAAAAGTTCAAGAATATTCATGGTAATGTTTGCGATACGGTGCTTTGTAATCGTGGTGAGGGTCCTTATTTTCGGGATAATTAATTATAAATATAAAATGTAATAAGGCTCTACGATAATAAATAAATTAGTTAAAAGTAAAAAGGGCAAAGAGCCAACGTATAGAAAATTACCAACACATATATATATTAAAAATAATAATACAAAATACATACAAATTTTGCAAACGTTTCGAATCCGATCGGATCATTTTCAATGATAACATAAAAAATATATATATTGTACAAAATCAAATTTCATGTAATATCGTCACTTGAAGAAATCTGGGTAGTATCTTTGTAAGTCTGATCCCTCGGAAATAAATGTGTATCAAAGAAACCGCGAATGCTACAGTCAATAACAATAAATTCTTTGATCAAAAATTACAATTTATAATATATAACTAACAATTAATCATGTAAAATTACTTAAAACTGTAATTATGAAGAATTGTAACACTTAAGTGAGCACTACTAAAAATTCAATGTAATTATCTAATAATTGACAGAAAAATTCAAGATATATTACTCACAAGATTAAGGAACAAAATTACCACAGTCATCAATATGTCATCGTTGAAATAGTCAAAAATTATAAACTCAATAAATATAGCTTCGGACAAAGGATTTGATTCTGTACATTATATATATTTTTTATGTTATCATTGAAAATGATCCGATCGGATACGAAACGTTTGCAAAATTTGTATGTATTTTGTATTATTATTTTTAATATATATATGTGTTGGTAATTTTCCATACGTTGGCTCTTTGCCCTTTTTACTTTTAACTAATTTATTTATTATCGTAGAGCCTTATTACATTTTATATCAACAATAAATGTTTCCACCGAAACTGTTCGTAGGAAGGGGAACATGAAAAATCTCTAAGAAGGAGAAAGCGAATGTATTATATTGTGATATGTTTCAGGCAAACATATCACGACGTTTGCAAACGAGGGTGCAGGAACACATCTCCGATATTATATATAATAAGACATCAAAATCTCCG